AGTTGATACCTCAACCTTTGCCACTTCAAATGTCAACTTTCAGGTGAGTGGATATTGCACTGTATGGCTACATCAGAATGGATATCTAAGATGTTTTTAGTTCATTTATGTATCGCCAAAACATTCTGCAACACTTCAGGTACTGTAACTGTTGGGTAGGTTTTAACATTCTATCACAAGTACTACAGGCATGCATTGCACATAATTGGTCAGAAGCCAACTAATCATCCAGAGTGTCTTCTGCTCTGTAGGAAACACTACCATTTAAAGGACCCTACACTAACAGTGCAAATACAAGCTGCATTTAGTTAGGGTCCCTAACAGGAACGCAAGAACCCCTGCACTGTAAGACCATAGTTCCAAACACTAGTTTCTTTTCCCTCCTACCCTCCCCAAAATAGATGCTGCACTTTTTGTTTTCACAAATGCACAAAGTGATCAAGAATAGTTTTGGTAAGATTGTTATATTCAAAGTGTAAATAATATACAGTACTTAGACAAATTTCTGTTGGTTATTATATGAAAGGTCAAACAAAAGATGCCACCAGCACCAATATTACTGACCAAATCCGTGTCACGGACACTGTGGCTGGCAGGGTGACATTGCAGTGAGTGGTGGATGGATCCACACTGACAGATCCCAGGCTGGAATTCCCCAGGCAATGTGGGGAAATAAAATGCTGTGATGGCAGACAGCCCAGTCCCTTACACACAACACCTGAACTGGGCAATCCCCCCACAGTGACTGATCTGACACAACACACCACCACCAAAAACACAGATCAGCAGGCACTAGAAGAGCAGGCTTTGGGATTGTGGTGATGTCACTCACTGACATACTGCATAAGCAGTGGATGGCCGGCTGGCTCACACTCTGACATAAGACCTCAGAGTCGCATTACATTCCTCTGCAGTCGCAGGGCTCTGCCTTCGCTGTTGAATGGGAAGAGAAGGCCTGAAACTCAAAAGTGATCACAAGCCGCCAACCAGCTTGCTGTAAAAACTGAGTCTGAGGAACACTGGAAGGAGTGGCAGCTCAGCTGCCACCCTGGCCCCAGACACAGGGCATCTTCCTCTGTCCTTTCTGCCACTCCTCCTTTCGGTTGGATGATTATTCATGATGTGGCAGTGCGCCCTAGGCAGCCTCCTAGTTTGTCTAGTGGAAGCACCGGCCCTGCCAATGGTCCAAATATATCACCATGTGTTGCTCCAAACCACCACCTTTGTACGATCGCTAGCTATTTTAAGCTGCATGAGGAAGGCAGCGGACAGCATTTTTAGCACACAGGGCATCAAAGTATGGGAATCCATCCAAATTGTAATCCTCCACTCGCACAGGGGGCCACCAGCACCACTGATGTATCAAGCCTAGGAGAAATGCAAGATGGAAGCCAGCCCCAGCTGCAGAGGCGTGATGATGGCACGTAGCTCCTCCCAACTGTCTTCCTTTGCATGCACATCTTTAAGGGGCTGATGTCACTGCTTCTGGCACCAGTGGCCATCTTGCGTTACTCCTAGGCTTGATATATCGGTGGGTTCAGGGTCCTGCCAAGGGTAACCCCACTAGGTGCAACTCTGCATCTTTTTTTTCATGTGCACGACCAATACCCACCTACTGGCCCAACCCCCTTCCCTCTTACTCCTGCTACAGGAAGCAGTACAGGCCAGATGGTAGTAAAACAGTGATTAACCCTTACATCACTGAATAGTAGTTCTTAAATGCAGGACTCCAATGGCATATTGGGTACCTGCCTGTGCATGTTCTTCTCATAACCTTTAAAAAAAAATGGCATCAGACTTTAAAGAACCTAAATACTAGGTTGGTGCTGTATAAATACTGGCAATTTTGAGTGACAAAGATGAATAGGTTGTACTAATTTCTAGTTTTGTCTAAAGTGTATTGGAATCATTTTTTTCGTTTGGTTTGTTACTCAACAGCTGATTTACAAGAACCAAGAACAATGCAATGATGGCAACTGGATTGTGCCTACTTACTCCAACGATTACCGATCTGTGGGGCGGTTCTTCTCTCGCACCGGAAGTTTTGTGCAACTGCAGGGCCCCACAGAAGATCTGCAATGTGGTAGAAATTACAGCATCCGGGTCCAGTATATATTTGGTGAAAATGCTCTGGCTGCAGGAGAAACCACTGTCAAATTTGTCTACATGGTGAGGACATGGAGGAAAATATATTTGTACCCGGGGGGTTTGGAGTTTCAGCTGCACACTGTTGACTTTGGGCACTTGGCACAACTAAAAGAAAATATTGCCAGTTACACCTAGAACTAAATGTGTATCAATGACTGTTGGGGTAGATCCTGCCATAAAGTCTCGGGTTCCAGGTTGGGGTTCTGTCTAACACAAACCTGGCTCTTTCATGGAGCTCTGTAAGATCCGACACTGAAGCTCCAGGAGAACCGTACATAATGCAAACCTTTTTAGCACATTTTAATTGCATTCCCCCACTTAATTCTGTAGCATTCTGCACCTTACTACAATAAATTCTAGTATAGTATCCTGGACAGCAAGGAGTCACATTCATCCAGACTTGTTTTGTAATTTGTAATGAGTACATTTACTAAGCTGGAACTTTTTCTCTTTTTTTTTTTTTTTTTTTTTAAAGAGCATATTGGCAATGGCTGTAAATTTAATTGCAAATCCCTGCATTTCAGTTTTTGTGAATAATCAATTTCTGAACTATTGAAATACTTTTAATTGGTGGCTTAAGTGCAATTGGCTATTCTATAGACACTATCCTTCTCACTTTTTACTTTTGTGTTGCAGGCCATGGCAAAAGCAAAGATTATGAAGGCCGGTGAATATTCCGTAGACGTTTCACAATGTAAGTTCAGAATGTCAGCCGTCTTCACCCTTGTCCAATACACTCGCCAAGCTATTTACTGTATAGCACCATTCTCTCAAATTCCATGTACTGTAAGTTGATCACATTTTTGTGATCTTGATGTCTAAACATACATTAATCTGATCATTAGAAGTTCACCTTTTGCAAAAAATAAATGTGAGTCATTTTGCAGGTAAGTGCAGTTGTTGTTTTTTTTACATTAGCCTATAAGGCATTGTGCCCATGATCAGCAGATTGCGGGTGCAATGCCTGGATCCTGCAGACACTCGGTAAGCTGTCTGCCTGTACCTTGTACAGGTAAGCAGTTACTGAATGGCTTGGAAGAATCAAGACTACGAGAACACTCACCAGTGCCCTTGCAGTCCATTAAGAACTAAAAGCCATCAGCCGCAATGGCTGACTGTAAAGTGGAAAGTGTGTGTGGTGGGGATCCATCCCTGTCCTGCTGCCTCTTGGAGGGAGAGGAAGCAAGAGCTGTAAGATGTTCCACCTTTTTAAATACGGGTGGAACATATAACCTGTTCCAAAAGTGGACTTGTGCTTTAAAGGATATGTGAACCCTTACTTTTGTAAAACAACCTATTCAGGTTAAGAGGTGGTTGTGGAGAGTAAATACTCAGCAACTCCTAAGCAATGCAAAGAACAGGATACTGTAATATAACATGTACATAGACCCACATCAAGATTATGAAATGTTGGGGTAACATACTCAGGGGGAAAATGCCACGTCAAAGGCCTCTTGTATAGTTCATGGCTAGTCCACGTGATCTTTCATTAGGGAGAATAGCTTTTTAAATTACAGGGGATGGTACCAAGTTTTTCAAATATACTTTCTAATAAAGAGAGCTCTAAACAAACAAATGTTAATATGTATGCAGAGAATATTATTGCAAAGGCATACCCTAATCCACAGCACCATTCAAGACCCACTCCTATCATTCATGAACAATCCAGGTGCTGGTTCCTGCAGCCATCTCAAGTAAATGGATGAAAGCACAGTTTCTGTGTTTACAAACTCATGGTACTGTACACAGAACAGCACTGCAATATGGCCAATTCTTCTACCTGAAGCAGGGAGAAAGAAAATTGCCAGATCTGTAAATAAAAGCAGCACACTTGTCAGGAACACCGTTGACACTCTTGTTTGTGCTCTGATCTTAACCCCTTCCCAGCCAGTGTCCTTTAGTACCGTATTATATCTAACTATTAGTGCCACTCAGTGTCCCAGTCAGTGCCAGATTGCCCCCCCAAACTATCTCATCCCCAATTCAAGTTGCTGATCACCCCCATTACCAGTATAGCATCTATAGCTGCGTAAATTCCAGTGTGTGGGTGTTGTGTATACCATAGTTTGTAGATGCTATAAATTTTCTGTCACACAAACCAATTTATATGCACTTAAAGAAAAAAAGCCATCAAATTTCTTAACTTTAGGCCTAAATGTATTCTGGGATTTTTTTTGTTTTTTTACCAAAGATGTAGCAGAGTAGAAAATATAATTCTCAAATTTTGTGGTACTTTTTGTTTCTATAAAAAAAAAAAAAAAAACCCAGTGGTGAACAAACCATCAAAAGAGCTCTATTTGTGTGCAAAAATGCTATAAATTTCATTTGGGTGCAGTGTTGCATGACCAAGCAATTGTAAAGTAGCACAGTGCTGAATAATGCCCTGGTCCTGAAGGGGGTAAAACCTTCTGGAGGTAAAGTGGTTAATTCCTCACCCAGAAAATATTGCTCCTGTAGACCCTGCCTAACTGCTATTGACCTGCTAGTAGAAATAAATTTTAAATGGTTGGGACAAGAACACTTTCAAGAAATTACCAATTCATATAAAAACTGGCCCAACTATGGTGTGAGCTGGGGGCACATACAGTGAACATATAAACTGACCTTACAGGAAGTGGGTTTTTTTTTTTTTTTTTTTTGTTCAGGCTTCCTTTTAATGAATATTCCTGGATGTCATGTGTGGTGCCAAATAGATCTTGTTCCACCATTGTATGTATGACCTGCTGTTGAGTAAACCCAGCTAATTATGTGTTCTCATTTCAGCTCATCAAGGAGAATTTAACCTAACCTATGAGGCTTGTCCTAATCATGTCCCTATTGTTCAATATACCGTACAGTACATGCTGCAGGATGAGATAGTGGGAGATGCCATTAATCTCAATTTGGAGAAATGTTTCAAAAACCAGGTATATAATAGACACCTGTGTAGTAGAGAATATATAGATCTAGCCTCAAAGAATTAAAGTGCATGGTTGATAGCAGCTTTTTCATGTGACCCAGATTGACTTCTTCAGCTCTTCCTTAATCTGTGCCCAGTGGAATGGATGTGCATCAGGGACTGGACTGCACATAGCTTTCAAAATAGCAGGGAACCTAAGTATTTCATTGGTTGTAGCGTGTGCATCTTTTACATTGGGTTGGATTTACCCTGTTACACGTGTTACATATGCTGCATGCACATGGAAGTTATGAATATACTTAGTTTCCATTTTTTTTTCACACTTTATTATTATTATTATTATACGAGTTTATATAGCGCCAAAGGGTTTGCTCAGCGCTGTACAATAGGGGGGGACAATACATGGCACAGTACAACAACAAACAACGTACGAGGGGTAAGAGGGCCCTACTCTTACGAGCTTACAATCTAGGAGGGAGGGGGTAGTGGTACAGTAGGAAGTGGCTGAGGGGGATGAAGTGGTGGGAGGAATGAGGGAGGATGGCCGTTAGGTGAGGGTGGGGTAGGCTTCCCTGAAGAGATGGGTTTTGAGGGAGCGCCTGAATGTGAATAGGGAAGGCGACAGTCTGATGGATTGGGGCAGTGAGTTCCAGAGGATGGGGGAGGACCTGGAGAAGTCCTGCAGTCGTGCATGGGAGGAGGAGACCAGGGAGCAGGATAGGAGGTCCTGTGAGGAGCGAAGGGTACGGGTAGGGTGGTACTTGGTGATCAGGTTGGTGAGGTAGTCAGGGGCAGTGTTGTGAACGGCTTTGTAGGTCAGGGTTAGGAGTTTAAATTTGATGCGTTGGGCAATCGGGAGCCAGTGGAGGGAGAGGCCGAGGGGGGTGGCAGAGGTGGAGCGAGTGGTGAGGTGGATGAGTCTGGCAGCTGAGTTCAGGATGGTCTGGAGCGGGGAGAGCCTGCACTTGGGTAGGCCAGTGAGGAGGAAGTTGCAGTAGTCAAGGCGTGAGATGAGGGAGTGTACTAGAAGTTTGGTGGTGTCTGGGGTGAGGAAGGAGCGTATCTTGGCAATGTTGCGAAGATGGAGCCTGCATGTGTTTGTGAGTGATTTGACATGCGGTTGGAGGGAGAGGTTCGCGTCAAGAATGACGCCAAGGACTTTGGCTTGCGGGCGGGAGTGATAGTGGAGTTGTTGGTGATGATGGATAGGATGGGGGGGGGGGGGGTGTTGGCAGGGGAAAGATGAGGAGCTCGGTTTTGAGAGGTTGAGCTTGAGGAAATGTAGCGACATCCAGTCTGAGATGTCATTTAGGAGGTGAGTGATGCGGGCGGAGATAGTGGGGGTGAGGTGAGGGGTGGAGAGGTAGATTTGGGTGTCGTCAGCATAGAGGTGATAGTTGAAGCCGTGAGATTGTATGAGTTTGCCCAGGGAGGAGGTGTAGATGGGGAAGAGAAGGGGTCCAAGGACAGAGCCTTGGGGGACCCCAACAGAGGGGGAGGGAGGGGGGAGGTGGCACCATTGTAGGTGACACTGAAGGAGCGTCGGGATAGGTAGGATGAGAACCAAGAGAGAGCAGTATCTCCGATGCCAAGGGAGAGTAGTTTATTGAGGAGGGGGTGGTCAACTGTGTCGAAGGCCGCAGAGAGGTCCAGGAGAAGAACAGAGTAGTCGCCCTTGGCTTTGGCGTTGAGTAGGTCGTTAGTGATTTTGAGGAGGGCAGTTTCAGTGGAGTGTAGGGGACGGAAGCTTGACTGTAGAGGGTCAAGGAGGTTATTGTCTGTAAGGTGGGCGCTTAGGCGATCGTAGACTATGCGTTCAAGGAGCTTGGAGGTGAGTGGCAGCAGGGAGATGGGTCTGAGGTTGTTGGGGTCCGGGGGATCCAGGGAGGGCTTTTTGAGGATGGGGGGTGATATGCGCGTGCTTTAGGGGGGAGGGGAATACGCCAGTAGAGAGGGAGAGATTGAAGATGTGGGTGAGGGAGCGGATGAGGGAAGAGGGGGGGTGACCGGAGGAGTTGAGAGGGGGGATAGGGGGCAGGTAGTGAGGCGGGCTTTAGAGAGGACTTTGGCGACTTCCTCAGTAGTGACAGGGCTAAGGGAGTGCAGTGTGGGGGGGGTTATGGTGGGCGGGGCATTGGGAGAGGAGGGGGGCAGTGCGGTTGTGAGGGCAGGAGGGGGGAGATGAAGGGGTGACGGGGGCGAGGAGGCTAGGTGGGGAGGTAGATTGCAAGTTGACTATGTCCTTACGGATAGCGTCAATCTCGTGTGGAAATGGGTGGCAATCTCGTGGGCGAGAGAGGTACTGAGTGGAGGAGGGGGGGGGGGGGGGAGAGAGCAGGGAGTTGAAGGTGGAGAAGAGTCGGCGGGGGCAGGAGGAGAGGGTGTTTATTAGGTTAACAAAGTAGGCCTGCTTGGCGGCGTGGAGGGAGGAGGTGTAGATAAGAAATGCAGATTTGTAGAGGGAGAAAGTATGAGGGGACCTGGTTTTGCGCCACAGTCTCTCCAGTGCGCGACTGCGACGTTTGAGGCGTTTAGTGCTGTCGGTCTGCCTTCTATAGAAGTAAACCTAGACCCGAACCAGCCAAATTTGAAATAATGGGCTTTCTATGTGATGTCCATTTTCCTGCAGAAAAACTGTTGCATTTTGCTGAATCAAAATGCATAAGTGTGAATGGTCCTTAGTCTGGGTCTTTTATGGGTGTCCAATCTAGTCTCTCCTTTTTTTAATAGTGTGGTGGGTTGTGGTGTTGTGAGAAAAAAAAAAATTACTATTGTGTGGGCATTTGATAGGGTTACATCCTTGCAATGGACCATATTTCATCCTCTCAGGTACCTAAATTTTGTTTGTTCCCACGCCTCCTTTCCCTCATATGTTGAGCTACCTGTAGCTTAAATGCTTGTCTTCAACTGGCTTCAATACTGTTAGAAGTGCTGTAAAATAAGTGTTAGAAATTTCCTTATCACTGTTTAGATGCAAAGTCATGAAACCAAAGTACTTGGCATGATGGTAAAACTGCCGTTATGAAGGCTCATTCACACCTTTCAAAACAATCTCTAAATATTCCCAATGATTTCCATATTGTCAACAGCCAATGATGGCCATAGAAGAAAACCCTGTATAATATGCCCTCAAACAATTTTAATTGCTCTCCTTTAGGTTTTCGCCAACTTCTCTTCCGAAATGGGAACTCCCGGCTCCCTTGTTGACTTGGAAGTGAAAACCACATCAGCTTCTTCCTGCCTCATCCGTATCCTCGATTCCAGCCTCCTGCTTCTTGATGTAGGGGAAACCTTTTCTGCTGCTATGGTAAGATACCAGTGGGGTTGAGGAGTTGACCTTGTACGTGTTTTTGAAAAGCAGCTCTCAGCTGGAGTCATGCTCTTGGTACTAGCATGTGATACCATTTTATTGATTTTATACCCCTCAGCTTAAGTGGTGGCAGCTAAGGCTAGTACGACTTGAGGCCTTTTCTGAAAACCTATGTGGACTGGATGTTGGTGGCAGAAATGAACAGATCAACTAATGGCTTTTTTTTTTTTTTTTTTTTTTTTTTTTTTTTTTTTTTTTTTTTTTTTTTTTTTTTTTATGAGGCCCAGAGTGTAGCAAAAAATTTTTTATCAATGTTCTCCAGACCTTCAGCCTAACTCCTGCTTGGCCCAGACTGCAATCCTTGACTCGGTAAAGCGTCCTCCAGGGGCGGTAGCCCCAAGAAAACTGGTTCCCTCACTGTAAAAGGAACACTCTAGCAAGGTCCCCCAAAACATTTATCACCTCCCAAGCCACCTTCTGAACGTCTCCTCCTTTCAGGGATTGGTTGAATCATAATAAATATTCATACTGGTCATTTGACTCTCCCTGTCTTTGATTTCTTACAGCTGCTTCTGGAAGAAGCTTCCAGAATAAAACACTCAGCCTAGGAAACTCTAAAGAGAACACCAATAGATCACTGCTCTACTCACTGCAGTGAAGCCAAAAACTAAATTTGTAGCCTGTCAACCTAATTTGAGGGCACTACACCCCCTATGACATCTCCAGGGCAGGAATTAAAGGAAACTCTCCCCAATAGGATGATATAAAAACTGGATGTTTTTTAGCCTTCCTACTTTTCAAAACAAATAATTTTGGCTATACATACAACTTCATGTAATTCAATCTCATTGTATATTACAGGTATACAACTCTCTTCAGTATACCAGCCTGAATGGATACTATGCAGCAGGATTCAATGTGGAGCCTCCTCAGCCTCCCTGTATTGATGCTAAAAAACAGATTCTTGTTAATGGTACCTACTTTGAGCCTGTTAACTTCCCAGGGGAAAAAGACGTCAGTAAGGTTTATCGTGTAAGTATTCAATGCTCATGGTCCAAAAACCTGTTAACTCAAAAGCAGTAGAATGTCATGATAGAACATATACTGTGTATCAACTCTAAATTTTAGATGGGAGGGGGAGCATGTTTTTTAATTGTAGCACTACCCCCTTAGGGTATTGTTGCAGTTTTGGGTTCCCCCATAGTCTTGCACAATCAGGCAACACTTTTTTCTATTCAGACTTTCATCCAGGAGCCAACCAGTCATTGAGCTTGTTTTTTTTTTGGCTTTTATTAGCAGATTGTAACTTGGATGGGGTAAGGGGTGTAAGGGATGCCCAAGGAATGGGAAACTGAGGACAACGTATGCAACTATGTACAAATCTAACAGCAGAACAGATCCTTCTTGGAGAGCTAGCCAACATCTCCTAGTGCACCCCCAGATGCTCCTTTTATCCAACTGTACTGGGTGAAACCCTGGATAGGGGACCCAGTGCCTGTCACTTAAGACAGGCAGAAAGTTAATAGTTTCCCACTAGCCCACTTTTCCTTCCCCTTACTGGCCCAGGGGATGTAGGCCTACTCACTCAGTCCTCGGTATGTGAGCGGATAGGTCAGTGGCTGCTCTCAGGGCTTCTAGCTGGGCAGCCCCTTCTTGGCTACACAGGTGATTCTCTCTGGAGGTTGGTGAGGTCCTCAACATCCTCTGCCTGTAGGTGGCCCCCTCCGTGGCTCCTGCTCTCAATCTTCCACCCAAACCCTCTCCCTTGCTGAGCAGGCTCAAACACTCTTAAAGGCTGTCTTGGCTCCTTGACAAGCCTCATGTTGGGGATTGGCCAGGATCCCTTGAGAGTGCAGACCAGCCACTCTTCTCTCCCTTCCACTGCTTCTAGAATCTTCTTCAAAATTTTAGAGTAGGTGGAAGTTCCAGAGCTAGTCTGCAGAGCTTCAGTCGGCTAAATTTTGGTCAGGGCTATTACACCTGGGCTGCTACTTGGCTAGAGTTTGATTTCTAGGTAGGAGCTATCTAGGAGACTGCTACATTATATTTATATTAATAAATTTGTCGGGGGGGGGAGAAGCCTGCTGATCATTATCGGGGCTGTAATATCGACTTGTACATTGACTTCAAGGCATTTTGATACAGGAAAAAACAATCAGTTTTGCTAATTCATGCTGGTTTGCCTGCTCCAGGCAGAAGGAAGCCTTTACTTGGTCGCCAGTGATCATGCCAACTATACAATGTAAGCAGCAAGTCACAAACTGAAACACCTTCAGCCTCTACTGCAGCCTTTTAGAGCTTTTTGTTAACTCTGCCAAGGACTGCAGAGGCACCAGTATTTACATGTCCTAGTAAAAGGTGACCTTTGATGCCTGAGCAAATATGGCTCTGACCTTCCAGGGGAAAAAAGTTTGATCTGTGAGGCAAAAAATACCTAAAATGTTAACTACACCATGCCTAGCATGGTGTAGTTTTTTTTTTAATAGGCAACGGCAATTCTAGAACACTTGATTATAAGGGCATCTACACTTGGTTTTCTTTTGGTCCCTTGCAAAAGTCCCACAAATGCCTGCTGATCTGCCAGTGAGGTCTAACGCAGCATCCCGTAATAGGGTGACAACAATGCTGCACTACTCCTGAATTTAGAGCAGTGTTGCCCAGGTAGATGGTGACTGCCATGCCCCTTATAACCTCTTCTCAGCATACTGTAGTACAAGCAATCAGCTTTGACAAGCTACAGTCTTGTGACTCTGCAATGGCAATCGGCACCTTGTAACACCCAGTCCTGCTCACTGCTTCCTGAAACGGCATGGTTGCTGAAACCCTCATTCTGAGCTGCAGTGTCTGGAAAGGGGGGGGGGGGGGGGGGGGGCGCTATACTCCCAAGGACATTTTTGTTATATTTACTTTAGTACTATCCAAGATCTTGTACATAAATTGTGCAAAAGTATTTCTTTGAGCAGGCAGTAAAGTCCTTTTTAAAGTATACAAGTTCTCCTTTCATAACATTTTACACTTTATATTCAGGATGTAACGTTTATGAATGCATCAACCCCCACTTTGACAACATGGGATCTCCTCTCCCCTTGCTAGCTGTCAAAAAAAGTAAAGTGTTTTGTGAATGAGAAACTACAAGTCCTGACAGACTTGGCGGCTGTCAGCATGTATTTCTCAATGAACTACTATGGTGCTGTGGAGCGCTCTGGTAGTTCATGGAGTCTTCCTGTCACTATATCTAGACAATAAATGCACATTTTTTTTTTTTTTTACTGCAAAAAGTACGTTTATCATCCTTGTTGTATAAAGGTGCACTTGTGTGGGCTTTTATATATAGATCTAATGCAACATGTTCCAAAAGGTGTTTAGGGTGGAACATGTAACCTGTTCCTATAGTCGTAGTTGCACCTGTCTCCCCCCCCCCCCCCTCCCTCTGGCAGATAGTACGGGGAGACGTTTCCCCATACGTTCTGTCAGATTTGAAAACCACAGGGCTCTGCTCACATGGCCGTGTCACTCATGAAGTGTTCTGTGAATGAGTACGTACAAGTCCTGGCAGCCTTGTTGGCTGTCGGCTTGTAGTTTTTCAATGATCGACCACAGAGCTCCAGTTCATTGAAGCTTCCTGTCAGACTTGCTTGTACATCCCATACGGCAAGCAGATCTTCTCTGACATCTGCAAGAGACCAGCATGTCATTGGTGCTCTGATTGCTGGTGCAATGCTTTACAGACTCCTTTTTGGACAAAAATAACTTGCACATTTTGTAAAGCCGGTGTGGGGGTTTTTTTTTCCCCCCCTTCAAAAAAACTTTGTGGTAAAAGGTTAAATTTTATCCTTTTTCAGCAAACCAAAGACCAAAATAAAAAATTGCTAGGTTGTGTGGTGTGTTTTTTTTGTGTTTTTTTTTTTTTTTTTTGTCGTCCTGAATTACTGAAAAGTATTCAGTTAGAATTCTTTTTGCATGCCAGATCTAGGACTAAAATCACTATTTGATCAGCGGGAAGATTCAGGCAGCTAGCATTTCCAGGAGGTCGGCAAAGGCAGCCTAGGGGTGTCTATATGTGTAGATGTGTTTTATTAGAAGTGTGTGCGTTTGCTTTTTCCTCACATTTCTGTCCCTTTTTTTCAGGATATCGGTATGCATGTAATCACTGGTACGCCCTTCCAGCAGGCACAATTGTGCTCACAACCCTTTATTGGATTTAATGGACCCCCTGTCTTTTCGTTTGCACGGCCATCATTTTCTGGTCTGGTGAATGCTGAAGACAATTCAGCCGCTAGGGAAACAGCAACTACTACTATAATGGGTAAATATTTACTGTGACACATTGTGGTTTTTTAATGTGGTCATGGGAGACCAGAGTAATGTCTATCAAGTAAAACCTTTGTTACTTTAGGAAGAAGATATTGCCATAAACCTACAAGTTCTTCCTCTTCTCCTATTATTTTTTTTTTTTTTTTTTGCTCTCCATGGCTCAGTATGAGCCTGCTCAGTACATCCATGTGAGAGCTAACAAACTCATTGACTATTTATACACTAACAAATTTCAATTTAAAAAGCCACAGTTCTGGAAAATCTAACCTTTTAATTTGCCATTTTAACTTGTGTGTATCACTTGTGTCTGTACCAAGGCCAAACATTCCAGGGGATGGAAACTTTTTTTGATGAGGGCCATTTGGGTGATATGTTATAAAAGGTGCTTAACCACTGTGATAAAATGGTTTCGTATGATCATTATCCCTAAATAAGACAAACTGTTTTTGGCATGATCAGTCATATTTTCAGTATAAATGCCAAAATTTCACAACTTCTGCCAGGATATGCAAACTTCAGCTCAACGGTGTACCATTTTCTCAGTCCTCCCAAAACGTGTGTCCAGAAGATAGCGCAAACATGAACTGAAGATACTTTGCAAACTAAATTCTTCAAGTAGGCCTCTGGGAGGAAACTGGAGGAAACCCGCACAGGGAGAACATGCAAATGCCAGGCAGGTGGTGCTGTGGTTTGGATTCAAACCAATGACCCTAGTACTGCCAGGTGGCAGGGCTAACGTGTAACTTATTCTAGATGGCAACATAGCTGTGTGGGTTTTTAAACCCCCCCCCCCCCCCAACTTTTAAACTTTGAAATAAGGGATATTCCAGGGAGAAGGGGGCAAAGGTAAATTACACTGGACCCCAAGCCTACTCGTATGCCACAATCCAATATCTTAATTGCAGTGGCACAAAAGTCTTACAGACATGCAAGCCTTTTCCTTACACATGCCTTTCTCTGCAGAAAATCTAGTTGGACAACTAGCATGCTGTCTGATTCTACCTTAAAGCTGACTCACATCAGATGCAGTCTCATGCATTTTTAATCTGCAGAAAAGACATGCACAGAATTCTCCTTGTATTCCAATGCTGCTAGTTCACACCTTTGCAGTGTAGTCTTACAAAAATTGAAAATGTACCATACAGAAAAAAAAAAATGTAACATGGGAACGCACCAAATGCACAATATGTGAATTATGATAAAGGGAAAACATGCACCGGAACACATCAAAGTGTGTAAATGTGCATTTAGAAACTCTTCTAACACAAATTAGGTTAACTGGCCCTTTTTTATTATGCAGAACTTGCCTATTTTTTTTAATTAAAACTTTCTTTCAGACTCATAAAACTGCTGGGGTTGGTGATGTACGGTGTAGATTAGTGATCAGGGCTATTTAACCTGAATCTGTGTATACAGCACAGCAGTCAGAATGTACAGTCAGGTCCATAAATATTGTGACATCGACACAATTCTAACATTTTTGGCTCTATACACCACCACAATGGATTTGAAATGAAACAAGATGTGCTTTAACTGCAGACTGTCGGCTTTAATTTGAGGGTATTTACATCAAATCAGGTGAACGGTGTAGGAATTACAACAGTTTGCATATGTGCCTCCCACTTGTTAAGGGACCAAAAGTAATGGGACGGAATAATCATAAATCAAACTTTCGCTTTTTAATACTTGGTTGCAAATCCTTTGCAGTCAATTACAGCCTGAAGTGTGGAACGCATAGACATCACCAGACGCTGGGTTTCATCCCTGGTGATGCTCTGCCAGGCCTCTACTGCAACTGTCTTCAGTTCCTGCTTGTTTTCTTGGGGCATTTTCCCTTCAGTTTTGTCTTCAGCAAGTGAAATGCTCAATCGGATTCAGGTCAGGTGATGGACTTGGCCATTGCATAACATTCCACTTCTTTCCCTTAAACTCTTTGGTTGCTTTTGCAGTCTGCATTGGGTCATTGTCCATCTGCACTGTGAAGCGTCCAATGAGTTGTGAAGCATTTGGCTGAATATGAGCAGATAATAATCCCGAAACACTTCACAATTCATCCTTCTGCTTTTGTCAGTCACATCATCCATAAATACAAGAGAACCAGTTCCATTGGCAGCCATACATGCCCACGCATGACACTACCACCACCATGCTTCACTGATGAGGTGGTATGCTTAGGATCATGAGCAGTTACCTTTCCTTCTCCATACTCTTCTCTTCCCATCACTCTGGTACAAGTTGATCTCGGTCTCATCTGTCCATAGGATGTTCCAGAACTGTGAAGGCTTTTTTAGATGTCGTTTGGCAAACTCTAATCTGGCCTTCCTGTTTTTGAGGCTCACCAATGGTTTCCATCTTGTGGTGAACCCTCTGTGTGTCAAAGTCACCAATCAAGAGAAGACTTCACTAGAGTGAATACATACACCTACCTCCTGGGGAGTGTTCTTGATCTGGCCAACTGTTGTGAAGGGTGTTTTTTCTCACCAGGGAAAGAATTCTTCGGTCATCCACCAGTTTTCTGTGGTCTTCCGGGTTTTTTTGGTGTTGCTGAGCTCACCGGTGCGTTCCTTCCTTTTTAAGAATGTTCCAAACAGTTGTTTTGGCCACGCCTAATGTTTTTGCTATCTCTCTGATGGGTTTGTTTTGTTTGTTTCAGCCTAATGATTGGGCTTGCTTCACTGATAGTGACAGCTCTTTTGGATCTCATCGAGAGTTGACAGCAACAGATTCCAAATGCAAAAAGCACACTTGAAATAAACTGTGAACCTTTTTATCTGCTCATTGTAATTGGGATAATGAGGGAATAACACACACCTGGGAACAGCTGAGAAGCCAATTGTCCCATTACTTTTGGTCCCTTAACAAGTGGGCCACATATGCAAACTGTTGTAATTCCTACCACCGTTCACCTGATTTGGATGTAAATACCCTCAAATTAAAGCTGACAGTCTGCAGTTAAAGCTCATCTTGTTCGTTTCATTTCAAATCCATTGTGGTGTATAGAGCCAAAAAATGTTAGAGTTGTGTGCGTCCCAATATTTATGGACCTGACTTTTAAGAATGTTCCAAACAGTTTATAGAATGCAGAGCTCAGAAGTGACTCGCACATAGCACAAGATACAGAATGCAAATGTCATCAGTCAGCGGGAGGAAAAAACCCACAAAAAACCTTGGATGTGCACAACAGAGTACAGAATGAAGTGTGGAATAAAGAACACACAGCATGGAATGAGGTAATAGCAGGCACATTGGGGTTGATTTAATAAAACTGGAGTTCACAATCTGACAACCTGGAAGATGGTTGGCTCCCATGCACAGCTGCACCAGATTTTGCACTCTCTCCTGTGTTAGTAAATCAACCCCATTGTGTAGAGTACAGAATGAAGTGGTGTGGAAAAGGGAATGCACTGAATGAGAGGGCAGAGTACAGAATGAGGTGGTGTGGCATAGGAACATACAGTACAGAATTAGGAGATTTAAAATGGGCAATGCACAGCAGAGTACAAAATGAGGTGGTGTGGAATGCACAGTGCAGGGTACAATGGGGTGGTATGGAATAGGGAACACCCAACACAGTACAGAATGGGGTGGAATAAGGTGGTGTGGAATGGGTCACCCACAGTCCTTGAGTCCTTGAAGTGACTACACTTGCTGGACCTGGAAGGGGGGTCCTCAATCTGCAGGTCCTTCTGTCCAAAAGTTGCAATACAGAAAAATTCAACAGGTAGCAGTTATTGCCCCATCTTGCTGCTGTTCACTGACACCCCAGAATTTTTGCTGAAGTCATGTACAGCCCTGCAGTAAATTGAAGTTTTATGCACCTGCTCTACATATTTCCCCCACCATGTAATCCTCCCTAAGCAAGGCTGTGCCCCGGAGGGGACAATCTTCTCCACTGCTGCCCACAAGATCCCTTTTAGTGGATTGGCATTCCCTGACATGGTCTGGATCTGCCGGAGGCCAGGACTTTGTTAAAATCCCAGGACAATACAACAGAATCTGAAATGGTTGGGAGGAATATATATCTTAGGGAAACTTGCAGGAACATTAACATTTTTCACATGGTTTGGACACCACCAAAGCTACATCCTTTGTCAAGCACAGAACTGTTGATTTTATTTGAGTCCAAATGGGTTTTCATACAGCAAACTAATTTTATGCAAATACTGATTTTGTTTTTTTTTTTTGTTTGTTTTTTTTTCTAGCAAATGTTGGAGCCCCAGAGACAACAGTGCGGACATATTTTCCAGAAGTGTGGTATTTTGGGACCACATATGTGGGGTGAGTTTGACATAAAGTTGCATCAGCCATTCTGAGATTCTTCTATTTGATCATCGCAGACTCTAGTGTAAATGTTGCCGTTAATCAGTGGCAGCTCATCAGATGCTCATTCATCTAATGAATATCCTTTTACCTGACCATGTTGTGCATCAGTGTCATGGGACACCTTTACTGAAGACCACTGGGGCCACAAGGCACTTCTTCGGCAGACCACTGAAGTCATGGGGCACTTCAGCAGACCATTGGGGTTTGCAGCACCCTCATCTTGTAGTTTGGAGATTTACAACCTTATGATCATGAGCTTTAAATTGGGGTCCCTGAAATTTATTTTAAGGGTTTGCCTCTGATTAAATTCTGCTTTAAATTCTACACACAATACATTCTAATCATTTAAAAATGTTTTTCTTTTTCTACAGAATATGCTGCTTCAGTGTGTACAGTGCCTGGCCACATTACTGGCACTTGCCATTGGCTGGTTGTGATCTTGGCTGCAGTAATAGCACTGCAGATGGGCCAGTTTTGTTTAATTTATTCCCCCCCCCCCCAAGATCTCAAGCTGTGTA